TGAGACCAGTGTTATCAAGGAAAGGGTTAAACAAAACTTGTATATGACGTCAGGAAACTATGCGTGACCTCATATGCCCTCACTAAACATGTGGATTCTACAGGCCACTAAACTGACTTGTTAAATGTGCATGTTCTGGTGAAAGGAAAGCTTGCATCATGCCTGCGACTGGGATACCAGCATATGCAGACAATCGCACATATGCTGAACATGAGTGATGGGACACTTCCAACAATGTACTTCCGATGCTTATGTCACACACTTAGGCATACTTTATTTCATTTCTTCCTTTTCAGTTTATTGTTTTTTTAAAAAAAAGTTACAGGACCAACAAATATACAGGCGAGGGTCACAAAGTAAAAAAACTGTAGTGGGACGTTGTGCCTTTCTTATTGCTATTTTTGTGAACACGGCTCCCGTAGCGGGTGCCATAATGTCAGTAAACTTTGTACAGTCGAATCTCTTTAATTCGAACACGCTTAATTCGATCTTCCGGTTAATTGGAACTCACGATGAGGTCCCGTCAAAGCTATGTGTATTCCAATGGGCGAAAACGCCCGGTAATTCGAACATGCAAGCACTTGCGACGGTTAATTCGAACATACCGCGCTTCGAAAATGCTCTCAGCACTTCACCCAATCCCGCGGCGGCACCTGCGACACCTCAAAGCTGCGCGCGAAGGAATTGAAAAAAAAAAAAAAAGGAAAGGCTGTGGTGGAATGTTTGTTTTCTCTCAAATGCCGATCTGCGACGCGCCTGTGCCACACTTCTCCCTTTTCCGTCCCTGCCACGTAAAGACCCTTCTTCTTCCAACGCGCACGCGGAGAGAGGAAAAAAAAAAAGCAATCTGTCGCTGGGTTGAATGAATGTGTGGTTGAAGGAAAAGAAAAAAGCACTGTCAAAGGCACTATCTTTTGTCGCCCTTGCTCCTTGCGGGAACACGGCTCTGCACCTTAAGGGTGGGGGGGGAGGTTCTCACGCCCGTGCCACGTTCCTTCTTTCCCGTCCCTGCGAGGTAACAATTCTCCTTTCAACGACGCACGTGGAGAGCAAAAAACAAAGCTGTCGTGGAGTGTTGTTTTTCTCTCAAATGACGATCTGCTTCTCTCCGCTTGGAGATGCTCCTCCTTTCTCATCAAGTGCTGGCCATGCTGTGGCTGCTCCGCTACGCAGTCGTTGTCATCGTCGTCTTTAGAAAGTGTCGGCACTGGACATTTCCGTGCGCAACTTCTTTTGCTAGGAGAATGCTGAAGTCGAAGCAGAAATGCTTTGCAAGATCGCTGCAAGGCAAACGTGTGCAGACGCACATCTCCAATTACTTCAATTAATAACCGATGTCCTGTGATTTGTGAATAAATGTAAGTCTTCTGAAAGTTCCCCCTCGTGTGTTAGCTCAATGCACATTTGGCACTGCATGGAGAGCCCTCCATTTATTTAGCTTTTATTAATTCGAGCTTCTTTTAATTCAAACAAATTTTTGGGCTCCTTCGAGTTTGAATTATCGAGATTCGACTGTATTCTTTTGGTAGGTGTACTCTTTTGCGCCGTCACTAAGAAGCAACAGTTACGCACAGCTTTTTTTTTTTTTTTTCATACAACTGTTCGCTGTTCACTGTAGTCACAGCCGAAGGAGTGGCTTTTTAAGCTGTGATCAATGGTAATGCTTATTTTTGTGATGGTTGCAGAGGGTTAAGTCAGTTTCCAAGACCAGGCGAGATTTTTCAGAAATTCCCAGACTTTTGAATTTGAAGGCAGATACGACTGCCTGACTTGAAGGCAGATACGACTGCCTGACAAAGGCCTCCCTACCCATGCATTGCTCAGGAGTGGAACACTGCAAAGCATGGGCAAAAATAGGTAACAATATATGGTAAAAATACAGCACACAGCATACAGGCAATCAAAACATAATAAGAAAACTAGCTATATTCAGTACACAAGAATATAACATGTCCATGAAATTGTTTTTACGAGCCTTGATGATCAATGGTTGAGAACAGTATAAGAGAAAGAGAAAAAAATAACAGATGACAATTGCACAATATAAAGGAAGGATCAGGAGCTAATCAAAAGGTAATGAAACTTTTTTTTGGAGGTGGTATGTCGAATAGTTTCTCGGTTGTTATTTAGGAAATGTGGCATTAAGTAGGCAAGAGTTTGAGTACCATAATTGGTTTGGAACATAGGCGTTCGGAACAAGTCGTTTGTGCCTATGGTGATATTGAGAATGGACAAATGATCAAGATGAAGAGACGAATTTGAGGGTCATGTAAAATTTGTCTATGTGTATGTATAGCGAGCTGTAGTTAGGATAGCTGATCAATTTTCGGTATATAAAGCTTGGAAAATGATTGCACTGTGTGGTCATTTCGTTTAGTATTTTCGATACAACGAACAACTCTTTTTTGTAAAATTATTAATCTATCAAAACTTGTTTGAGTAGTGGTACCCCAGATCAGGAGACAGATTCCCGACTTTTCCAGAAGGGTCCAAATTCCCTGACTTTTCCAATATTTCCAGGTTGGTAGACACCCTGGACGACAACGAGCGACCACATCGGCAGCGGCAAGGACGGCAACGTTCGTCGAGCGTTGACAGCCTCGAATCAGCTTGGTCAAGCAAGGTCGAAGCGAATCTTGAGCAGAGGCTAGAGATGCCCGACGTTGACTAGGATGGTTTAGCTTGTAGAACGATCCGAGTGTGAGCTTAGCGGGGCTTAGTTTGCATTTTTAGAACAGCTGGAGTTCTGTTTGTAGGTTAATTATAGTTTACTTTGGAGTTATTACTAGTTGTTTTGTACATTTTTGTATTTTGTAGTGAGTGTTTATTAAATGGGCTTATTTGTTAATGGAGTCATGTCTCAGTTCATACCCCGCGGCAGCAGCCCGTAATCCGTGACAGTGGGGTCTAACGTTCCAAAAGCACCATATGATTAAGAGAGACGCCATAGAGGAGGACTACGGAAATTTCGACCACCTGGGGTTCTTTAATGTGCACGGCAAATCGGAGCACACAGGCCTATGGCATTTTAGTCTCCATCGAAAATGCAGCCGCCTCAGCAGGGATTCGATTCATCGACCTGCTGGTCAGCAGCCAAGTACCTTAGCCACTAGACCACCGCGACGAGGACCACTTGAGTCTTTCATTAAAGCATCAGGACGATGTCTTTTTTTTTTTTTTTTTCAGAGGGGGGCAATACCACATTCCCTTCTCAATTTTTGTTATCGCCTCATTTCACTGTCAGTTATTCTCAGTGCAAACCACGCCTACAGTGTTCAAGAAAGTTCAGGTTTGCAGTAGATCATTTTGTTAAGGTTACGCCCACTGCGTGGACATTTCAGGTTATTCTAAAACCTACGTCGCGGCTAGCGATAACATTACAATATTCGATGGCAAGTGTATAAATGGCGACACTTCACCATTTGCCAGTTGATCACCGGCTGACGTTCTGTTCGCCACTATCAGGCTGTAATCTTACCTTCAGAGGCTGTAATCTTAGAGATTACAGAGATTAAGATTACATAGGCTGTAATCTTACCTTCAGTTTCCTGGCCTTAAGTTTGGCCGAATAAAAAGTTTCATCTGAACATCGAGTGTTGTCCCTTTGTACACGTCACGACCCCGTGACAATATATCTCCTTTGAATATAAAGTACTGCCACCACGAAGAAGCGTGTATTCGGAAGTACACGACCTTATTCATAACATTGATTGGTGAATGGAAAGACAGATGCACTCCTATTACAATAAAAACTACGATTTACCTCATCTCCACATACACTAGCCCAAGCATAGCTCCGTTCTGTAATGAAGTGAATGGCATGCGTATTCAGCTTTTGACGGCACGATGGAATTCAATTGGATACATGCAATTGGCAGCACGAGTCACAGCGTAGTTACCTCGAAAACTGATAATACCTTGCCTTTAGCACTGTAGAAATGCAGCGCATAAGTGTGTGGATATCTGTGGCGCACCCACCACCATTTCATGGGCATTTCCACCATATGGTCGCTCCCTTTCTTTCTTCTGTACTCTAGTGACGGTGCGTGGCAATAGATCGTGCCATGCGTGGGTGCGGCGCATGTTCCCAGCCGACGCTGAGTGACATGTGCGCCGGGAAGGCTCTCTCCTGCTTGGCCGGTGCTCGGAAAGTACTTGTTTTTCTTTGTCCGCATCCCCTTTGGGAATTGCAGGACTGTAGCCTGCCTGGGTGTCTAGGCAACCCCGGAAAATGTATTTACCTGCGTGTTAGCTTTGGTACCGTACGATAAACCAAACAGCAGTACCTGGAGCTTGACGTGGTCGTACCAAACAAAGCCACACTTCACAGAGGCTTACGCATACGAGGTTTACCCCAATTCTCGAGGCCAGGCCCAGTGGCCATCACGAGAGTGATGGCCCCTGGAAGTAGCTTAGCCGAGTGAGACTTTTTTCTGACCGGCATGTAAAAGCTCGTGATCACCAGCTGCAACGTGCTCGCGGTCAAGAAGAGGGGCACTGTTTGAGGTCAGGTGTCTTTTAGCGCACGATATTTCGGACGTAATTCAACATAGTTTTGTGTAAAAAGCATAATCGAGGCGGCATGAGAAGAAGTCGGCGAATTTCTGCGAAGGTGCTTCTTGTCTTCATTACCCCACCACCCATCCCCCATTTTCGCATTTGTTAAATGTGCATTGCGGGTATTTAGACGTTGAATGTCTTAGTATTCGTAAATTTTAAAGGTTGTAAGAATCATCCATCGCATGCTTCAATTCTCGGAGGTTGCTTGCTCAACACGTTTTGTGCAATCGCGGCCCTTCAAAAAGGTTGTTTTGGTTATAGTGCAGTACCGCTTAGAGTGGGGATACTCGCGACACTGCGACTTGTGTTACAAGCGGTCTGTACTGTGATATGAAATAATTTTACAGCAATTTAGACTATAGTGCAAGGATACATAGTATTTCACGGCAACAGCAAAAATTTGTTAAAGATCTCCATACATTTAGTGCATGCTTTCTCACCAGGTGCCACTCCATAGACAGCAGCCTGCATGGGCACTCCAGCAGCAGCAGCTGCAGGAAAGGTTGGAGGCTGTGGGGTGCCATAGAGGGATAGGATTGACTCCTTAGTGAGTACGCAGCGCCGCTCAGCAGTATGACCAATGAGGTTTTTCTTTTTCTCAAGACATGGTGCCGAAACAGCAGTGGCAACAGGGGCTGCACTCAGGAACTCGTCAAACGGGTCTTCCTCTGGGACTGGTCCACTTCCGGATGAATCCATTTCTGCACCATTACCAAGAATATTGTTTCACAGCTCACTACACGCACAGTCACAAATAATAGCTGCTTATTCTAGTGGACTCAATTCCATGTATCAGTGTCAACCAATTTTAAATGTACACAAGTAAAACTTAGCAAATGCTTCATTTAAAAAGCCTGTAGCTCAAGCTGTAGCTTATGGGAGTGCTCATACACTGTGTAAAGTAGTTTTCGCATCATGGCACCAGTGCTTTGTGGTTAGCTTAACTCTTTCGTTACCACGCCAATTCGAATCTGTCATTACGCCAATTCAAAGCTGTTCACTAGAGAGCTGTTGCTTGGAGTTAAGAAGGATATTATATAAAAAAGTTATTTTCAAATGCTCCCTGGATGTATAAAGTGTGGAGGTGGCCTTTCAGCCAGTTTCCAGCAGTTCTGCTTTGCTTGTATCATTATGAGACACAGGGCCGCATCCAATGTCACTTGTCGTGCCTATGGCATCACGTGTGCACCTGCATTGCGAAAAACATGCGCCACTCAAGACTATTTTTTAACTGCACCAGAGTTGAGTGACGACGCATGTTGAAACTGAAGATGACAGCACTTAAGCTTCATGCTTAGGTGCTGTGATCACAAGGCCGCCCTCTTTGCATTACTGCTAAGGCATGCCGTAAAGCAAACTTGTGCACCAAAAATCTCATATAATTCATCCCCTGAGTATAACTCCAAATTTTCTGTGTATTCAGTGCATGTTAATGCAAGCAAATCAAATTCATTCACTCGGTGTGGGGGCAAACTATGTTTGCATTAGCGAGAGCTCAGTACATGAATTTGCTGGCACCAAAGAATCATCATCAAATCTTACCGACGGTTAAATTTTATCGATAAAATTTCACTAAAACGAAATTCTTCGCGCATCCCGTCAATTTCGTTGTAGAAGGATTTGATGGTAGTACCGCAGGGCTATATTCATTCTTCAAAAGAGTCTACCAGCAAGCTAAAAGTGTCAAGTAAGGATGTCTGTCTTAGTCGCGATTAGTTTGAGGATAGCAAAAGCTAGATGTAACATGCTTGATGCCGTAGGCTTGGACCAAGAGTCAAAATCGAGTCGATGACAATGGCAGGCCATTGTCAGAAACCACTTCTTCAGGAATACTGCGGTGTACAAAAAATGACTTGCAGTGGTTGACACAGCAGCGATAGTGAGATAATTGAGCCAAACCAATTTGGTAAATCTTCAATAATCGGCAGCAATTGAACACGTTGAACTGGTACAGTGCATTACAGTAAAGATGTAACGGGGGAATGTAACGGCGGAGTAGACCAACACAAGAGGAGAGTGCTCACTTCCAACTGAGCCCTATTCAGAAATTGCTTTATCAAATATGTAGACCTGTGCAAGCGTACAAAGAACACCCAAACATATTGTTACGGGGTTCGTAGGACGAGGTTATTCACAAGAACTGGACGACGAGTGTCCCCCAATACTGCACGTCCTCATTTTTCCTCTGCTCCACAGGTATAGTTGTTGCTACTTGTTTGCTATAGAATAGGCCCACTTTAACATTGCCCCTCTTGCAGACAAAACCGACAGCGAGATGTCAGTGGGAGGGCCGCCGAGTGAAGGGCTTCAAACATGCGATATGCACTTCAATCTTCAATGACCGCCTTCCCCTGGTGGTGAGACGTGAGACCCTATATTTCCCATCGCTAAGAGGATCTATCCAGCATTTTTTAACACAGTCCGCATTTCTTTATTGAAATCCATAGCCACATTAGGTCATCAGAATTGTAGGTGACATGACAATGTTGACTATCATATCTGGATTTATAGCGCTCTTGTGAAGCCAGAGTACGCAGTTGAGCGAGGCGGTGAGCCTCCTCCGCTCAGCAGATTATTTCAGTTATACAAAGCGCCGTCGTAATGACAGAGAACGAAGATAGTGTCCTAAAGTGTACCTAGGTAAATGGGCGTAAAACAGGAAAAACGGGCTACAGTCGAACCTCGCTACAACGAAACTGAAGGGAAGGTGCGAAAAATTTTGTTGTGGTGAAATCTCCCCCACAACATCGTCACATTCGACTAGAAACATCACAAACATAATTTATTTGCAAGAGACCTCAAGTCTGCCAGCTTTTGTTTGCCGCCTTCTTTTCAACATCAGCGCCGTGGTGTGATGTTTGCAGTTGGAGATCTGCTGCATCGCGACGTCATCATCACGGACGCCAAAGAAATCGCCGATTTCACCTAATGCGTCCATTAGTCAACGCAGAAGGCGGCGCTAAAGCGTCTTGAGCATCACTCTCATCGTCCGACGATGTGTCGTCATGGCGAATTTCAACGGACTCGTCAATTAGCTCCTCGTGAGCAATAACGTCCGCGACAACAAAAAAGAACTATGCTCCCATCTTCTGGTGTATTTCCGGTGTCCAGAAGGGCTTCTCAGGCCGCAGCTGCTTCTCTGGAAGGTGGCTCCACTCTGCCACGATTGTCGTCTTCGTCAATTGGATTGATGAGTCGGCCATTACTTCAGCGTTAGGCTTAAAGCCAGCGCGGGCAAAACAGTTTTCAAAGATCCTTTGCCGGGTCACCGTACACGACGCAGCAACTATTTGTAGGGTTATGAATAAATCCACTTTGGTCTGTCACCCTGCGTTAATATTCAGCAACAATTGCTGAATAAGCCGCTGCGATAAGCGCTTTTAACGCTGTGAATTATACCCCGATTTAACAGCTGGATCAATGCTGTGCAGTTGGGTGAGAAAAAGCACATGTCCACATTGCCCAGCTCAACGTCATCAACGTTATGAACTGAGCAGTTATCAATCAGCAAGCACACCTTGTGGTTTTGGGCCTTCATGTCACGGTCAAACGGTTCTATCCAATCACAAAAAATGGCCCGTGTCATCCACAATTTTCTGCTTGCTATGTACTTTACTGGCACAATTCTGCTCCCTTTGAAGCATCGAACCCTCAAGCTCTTGTCGATGACAAGCGGGCACTGTTTATCTGAACCATCCATGTTAGTGCAAAGAAGCAGGGTCGCACGTTTCTTGCTGTTTCCCTCCGCTGCATGCTTGGCCCTTCATGTGCAGAGTCTTTTGCGGAAACAGTTCATAAAAAAAGTACTGTCTCATTCACATTGTAAATGTCAGACGAAGCACAGTCTTTCAGTATCCGTCAAAACAGACGACGCCCAAGTCGCTGCCTGGCGTCTGATGCCGCAGAATTGCCGCACAACACTTTTCCCACGATGTCATGCCGGAAATTAAAACTTGTCAGCCATCCTGTGCTTGCAACAAAGTTCTCAATGCCTAGAATGCAAGCATAGTTCAGTGATACCTGCTGCAACACACTTTTGCTGATAAGCATCTTCTAGGCATGCATGTCAAAGAACCAATTGTACAGTGCCTTTTCAAGACAGTAAACTTCTTGAGCTTGGTGGACGCCCTTGAAGAAATAGCACTTGTGATCACCTTCGCCTTCAAAATTGTGGACAGCGTGCTATTGGAGACGCCATATTACACAGCAATGTCTCCTTTTTTTCTGCCGGTTGGAGCTTCGCCGACGACTGGTTTTTACCGTTGCCAGGAGTGTGGCCAGAAATTTTTTTTAATTTGGGGGTGTGGGGGAGACAAGAGGGAATTTTGCACTATATATGCCACGCGAAAAAAAAATTCAAAGGTGGGGCGCACGTTTCCGATGTGCCCCTCCCCTCACCCTGGCTACGCCACTGGTTGTCATGTTTTGTGTAATGTCCCAAATGATAACATCCCCCGGCACAGTTTTTGCACACTGGTAAAAGCGCGCTAGCGGGGGCGACAAAGACGGCTAAAGCAGAGATAAAAAGAGCCGACCCATCTTGTTTGCACTAAGGGCGGATGCAATAACGTCATACCCGCGTGCCAGGCCTCCCATAGGTTGTTACTCAAGCAGAGAGGAACACACCGCTCATGTCTAAGAGACAAGAAGGAGCTAGGAACGTGAGGAGCGAGTGGTGTATTGTTATAAAAATTCGACTTTAAGGGTGCACGTGATCGCTGGCGCACGAGCTATTCGCGGCTGGTATACCCTTCTATCTTGTACTCTCAACGTGAACACAGTACGAAAAGTGCTTCGCTTTCTAGAGCGGCCATATAAAGCTATGCACTGTGCTTTGATTGCGAAGTGGAAACACCATCGTAGCGCCATTTCGGAGGTCCATTCGTACGTGTCGTTCGTGCTGTACAGATAGTACCACAGTGGTCTAGAGCAGCAGATTGCGTGCCTACATGTCGACACTGTTGTTGGCTGTGGATATTATCTCACGTTAGCTACAAGCTTCTGTTGATGCCTACATTACAGCACAACGGCCTAACACGCAGTACGACCATGTTTGGTAGCATTACGGCATCTCTCTTTACGTATTTCTGTAGAAAATGCCTGCTGGAGCAGCCAGCTGGGCGTTCTAAACAAGTCTGACTCCATCTGTACGTGCATCGATGTGCAAGAGATGTTTCGAGGGTCTCTAGTCAGTCACCTATATTGCGAATATCGAACACCGCAAGTGCAGAAAGTTTTGAGAGTGCGTGGACTTTGGAAATGAAAACCCCACTGCTAGCGCTCCTCCAGATGATGTCAAGCCTTATTATTTGGTATAACAACACAATTTAGTCAAGAGTCCGATGAAATCCCGTTTGGTCGCGGACAACATAGTGCAAAATAACAAAAACGCCGACCAAGGTGAAATACACAAAACTTAAAAAGACGTTTCGGCTCCCCCCCACGGGAGCCTTGTTCACAGTCACCGCAAATGGCGCAGTGCGCTCTTCTTATGCATGTTTCATCACGTGTTGCAGAAGAGCGCACTACGCCATTTGTGGTCACTGTGAACAAGGCTTCCGTGTGGGGAGCCGAAACGTCTTTTTTAAGTTTTGTGTATTTCACCTTGGTCGGCGTTTTTGTTATTTTGCAACAACACAATTTGTTGGTATCGCATTCATTGCTAAGAGTGTAAGTGAAACTAACAAACTATTTTCTAGAT